GACAGAGAAACAGACAGAGAGACAGAGAGAGAGACAGACAGACAGAGAGACAGACAGAGAGAGAGACAGACAGAGAGACAGACAGAGAAACAGAGAAACAGACAGAGAGACAGACAGAGAGACAGACAGAGAGACAGGCAGGCAGGCAGACAGGCAGGCAGGCAGACAGGCAGGCACGCAGGCAGGCAGGCAGACAGACAGACCAACAGACAGAGAGACAGACAAGACAAGACAAACAGACAGAGAGTGTGAGAGAGGCTTCCCACCGGTAGAGATAGAGATCAAGAGAGTGTGAGACATAGAAAAAAGGTAAGGAGGTAGAGGGACCTCCAAGACTAGCTGCGGAGTCTTGATTTCAGGATGTTTCGGGCGGAGGCAGGTAGGTATCAAAGAAGCAAAGTGGCCTGCATTGTTGGTCAGAAGGCAGAACGTTCATGAGTCATCAGGCTAGCATCCTTGTTCGCCGATGCTGCTTCTGCTTCCCCCCTGGACGAGTCACGCCTGTTTGGCGGTTAAACTAAGGCGGAAAAAGAAGGACTTCCTGGACGAGTGGTACACCATTAACAGGCTGATCGATGACGAAGCTTGGACGTGCTTGGGATTTTGCCCGCAGTGTTAATCGTGGTTCAAGATCGAGACCAAGTCGAGGCCTCGAGTTTCGTCGAAGGGAGACTTTCAAATCGAGCCGTCGGGTCGTGGGGTCGTCGACTTCCCAAGTCGTACATGCTGAAAGCCGAATCCGAGGACATGCCTGCCCACCCCGCCGAAGTGGTGACAGTGAAGAGCCTCGTCGAGGCTTTCCAAGCAGACAACATGACCAAGGCTGGATGTTACATACAAGGACACTCTCGCATACTCTCGTCATCTCACCCCAATCCCCTGCAAGGTGAACGCAGCTGCCTAGCTGGATTTGTTGTCGAAGGGAAGCGATCGCAGTTTAAGAAGCACGGTGGCAGCGTTCGCGACGTCCGAGGAATACATCATCAGCCATGTGCGTGAGTACCAGACTAGCAAGACCTCGGAGGCCCGCTCCCCCTTCGGAGAGCATGCGACCGTCCGGAAGTGGGCATAAAGCTGAAAAGATAAAGTCCTGAGCCATGAGTGGCCACACGGTTCGGCATCATCCTGAGCCATGGTTGAGAAACAGAAGGCCAATGTTCAGTGAACGGTTCGCCGAAAGCGGAGCATGGCAAGGTGGAAGTGTCTTTGCTGGATGCGCTCCGTTTGGTGGCGAGAACGCGAACTTCGTGCAATCCTCAAGCCTTGCAAGAGGAAAAACACGAACACACGCGCTAAGCGATGCTTTGTGGTCCTACCAAGGAGCCTCCGCTCCATCCAGGTCACCGAGAGTCTGCTGAGCATGCTGCCAGGTCTGCAAGATTCTGGGACACTAGGATTAGCTGGTCCTTGTGTTGAACCAGGAGCTGGTTAAGCGACAAAGCAGAGATGCCTCAGTCTTTGACTCGTTTCTGTTTTACGGTGTCCTTTAAGCACATCAACTCTCGGACAATCCTGCAAGCCCAAATTCAGGAGGATGCAAAATTAGGAGTGTTTAAGAGTTCTGTCGGAGATGTGGGCATGCCTGGACACGAGGATTTGTCATGCGTTGCTGGGCATTCGCTGCTTCTGATGCCGTTGCGCGCAACAAGGCTAAAGGCAGAAAGCCAGAAGCCGCAAGAAATGCGCTTTCGCTGCATCATGGCGGGCTTTGACCCTGACGCCCCCGGCGAGATGCAGGAGTTCTTGCGTGTGCAAGCGCTGCAACTCTGGCTGCAAAGAGATACAGTTGAAGAAAGCCGAAAACCACGAGGGGCTCATGTGCGTGTGGCTGACCGACGTCTCACCTCAGGTGGGTTTCGTTCTTGTTTGGTCCACTAGGGACAGATTCTTATGTGGTCACCGCAGCCTCCAGAAGAGGAACCCGGAGCTTCTACAGCCAAGTTCTTGATTTTCCATTCCAGGCAAGCGCTCGAAGATGACAATCCACTGCCTGGCCAAGTACAGCCCGTGGTGCAGACCACCGTTGCTTTCTTGAAAGAAAGCAGGATTATTTTCAGCTTGGCTTGTCCGGCTTGAAAAACCGGCCGTCGTTTGCCGGTCACCGAGTCTTTTCGCTTCGGAGTCCGTCGATTTGCCCAGGCCGCCAACATCCAACATCACTCGGAGAGCAAAGCGACGGTGAACAGCCACAGCATCGATGGCACCAAGGAGGCGCCAGAAGATCGTTTCGTGTCCGGGTGCAGAGAGGGACAGCTTGGACTTGGTCGCCTGCTGCTGGAATGCCGTGTGAAGCGCAGCATGCGCAGTGACAGGAGCCTGTTGAAGTTGTGGATCGAAGCGAGCAGCAGGCGAAGGCCCGTTGCACGTTGCAGGCGCAGGTCAGTTTGCTTCATCCGTCACAGAGCTATGCGGCGCAGGAGCAGCAGCTCCTCGCGACTCTCGACCGCTTGGCAGGGATAGCCCAGGAGTCGCAGGCGGAGGATCGCTCGACGGCAGGGCCCACAGTGTCTGATCCTTGCACGAGGCCATCGGCCACATCCCCGCCTGAGGTCTCGCAGACGCTCAAAGAAATGCAGTCCTATCAGGAGCAGTCGGCCAACTTTAACAAGGATCAGCAGTTGCCTGGCACCACGACGTGCTAGTCAGAGCATCTGGTCCACGTCATTAGCTGTCCTCCATGGCTGCAGCCGAGCCGAGGGCAGTTCGCAAAGACCTGAATGCACACTGCAACAAAGCCCAGGAAGGCTGGCAGACTTCGAGAGCGAAGAACCTCTCAACGACTAGGAATCTTTGTGCCGATGTGCGTGCTGATCGGAGGCGCCAGTCAATTGGCCGATCGATTCCAGTCAACGGACCTCCACACCCTCCAGGACCTGCATGAGATGAACTCGGGAGAGCATGTCCGTGTCTTGCGCTTCACCTTCACACCGAGTTTGGGCCTCACACGCAGGACCTGCCCGAAAGGATCAACCGTCTTGCTCAGCTGGCCAGGGTCCGCGCCCCAAGCGGCAGAGTGCCGCTACGAGGGCCTAGGCTCACTGGGCTTCGGCCTGTGCACCGAGGCCTCCCGCAAGGCGGTGGAGAGCTGGCGGCTAAGATTTTGGAGTTTTTTGGAGTCTTTGGTGCCCTCCCCCCTTTGCCCTTCCGTGGAGAGTTGGGACCTCGGGCCAAGGTGGCAAGCCCGGCTTCGGGTCTGATCCTCTGAAGCGCCTGGAGATGAGCATCACCATGCTGGCCGCCCGGGCCCCGTATCCCGCGGTATGCGTTCGATATCATTTTTTGCTGTCTTCTTCGCTGAGGACCGATGTAGGAAGTACACGGAGGAAGTGGAGGCAGGATGCCCACGGATGAGCAAAGTGGAGTCCGCCAGAAGGCCAGGAAGTCAGCTTCCAATAAGTTAGCTTTGCTAGGCCCAGAATGATCTTAAAGCGATGCTACGCCGCGTGACCGAGAATCTGGTGCCTCGGTATCGACCTCTCGTCTGCTCCGGTTTCCTTGTTTGGTCTTCACCCAAACTACCCTTCCCTCCCAGCCCTCACGAGCCCGGTCCTGCAGTGTGCGGTCTGCCCTAGGAAGAGCAGCAGCGAGCTGCAGAAGGCGATCGACCAGAGCCCCGAAGCCGCAAGCCCCGCCTGCGGCTGTAGCGTGAGGACTTCAAGATTAGGAAATGCTCAGCTGAGCCGGAGACGGAGACGTAAAATGATCAAGTTAAGCGTAGCGCCTTTGGGCATTCATTCCAGATGTACATAGAAGCAAAATCAGCAATCGCACCACAGGCCACGATTAGACAACTTGGGTTTCACTAGACTCTGGACTTCCCCAAGACCTGGGTCCCCTCAGGCGCGACAAGGTTTCAGAATCCAACTGCAGACTGCCAACTACATCGGGGACCGTGACCTGGGGCAATCGAAATTCGATCCCACGGTACCAGAAAGCGGCACGCGTCATGAAATCGAGCTGATTGCTATAGCAATAGTAGCAGTAGTAGCAGTAGGGAAGTAGTAACAGCAGTACGAACAGACGGCATAGCAGCAGCAGTAGCAGCAGCAGTAGCAGCAGCAGTAGCAGTAGTAATAGCGGTAGCAGTAGCAGTGGTAGTGGTAGTGGTGTAGTGGTAGTTTGGTAGTCGTCGTCGCAGCAGTAGTAAAGGAGCAGTAGTACTGTAGCAGCCGCCGTAGCAGTAGTAGTAGAAGAAGAAGTCGCAGTAGTCGTCATAGTCGTAGTAGTAGTCGTAGTAGTAGTCGTAGTAGTAGTCGTAGTCGCAGTGGTAGTGGCCCCGGTAGTGGTAGTGGTAGTCCGTAGTAGTGGCAGTGGTAGTAGTCAAAGTGGTAGCAGTAGTAGTCGTCGTCGTAGTCGTAGTCGCAGTCGTAGTGGTCGTAGTGGTAGTGGTAGTGGTAGCGGTGGTTTTGGTGGTGGTGGTGGTAGCGGTCAATTGTAGTAGTAGTCTGGTACTGGTACTGGTACTAGTACTAGTAGTAGTAGTAGTAGTAGTAGTAGTAGTAGTAGTCGTAGTAGTAGTAGTAGTAGCAGCACTAGTACTGGTACTGGTACTAGTAGTAGTAGTAGTAGTAGTAGTAGTATAATAA